ACTGCTGCTGTGGCCACTGGCCACATGAACCCTTGAAATGATGACACTGCAAACAGGGTGCTAAACATTTACTGGTATTTAATTATTACTGATTTCAACTGAAACACTGACACTCCATTCAATTCCTGGAAAATTTTGGTCTGGAGTTTGGACTCAGTGATCCCATTTGGGGTGACAAGTGCCCGGTGAAGGTTATGGCCCCAGAGGGGCAGCCTCCTCTGTAGTTCGAGGCCCCTGTCTGAGCCCTTTGTCTGGCATTGGGGGTAAAGAGCGAGGTCTCTGGAGCAAATCCCAGAGGTGCGAGCCCCCCCGCCCCGGGCCTGTTTTCCCATCTGTAAAGTGGGAATCCTAGCATCCTTGCCCTCACAGGGCTGTTGTGAAGCTTTGCGCACAAGCCTGGCACATGGCCAACGCCCAGGAAAGTCGTAATTATTATCCTGCTTCACCCCATCCCCACCCTTCCTGGTCCCTGGGTTCCTGGCTCAGGAGTGGTCACAGGAATTAGAGAAGGAGGATGGAAAACCAAGCAATCCCTGACTCAGCAGAGAGTAGCGGGTCTGGCCTGTCCGGTCCCGGGGCATCACCCACCACGCCCATTTCACAGATGCGCAGCTCCGTCCATTTCACAAGTGCACAGCTCCCACAGCGACCCTGTCTGTTGGGCGGGTCCCAACTGGTGAGCGATAATGGGCGGGGTTTGAACTCAGGGTTGTCTTCCTGCAGGCTGCTATTCTTGCCTGCAGTGGCCTTGTCCTCAGGGCCCTGGCCCAGGTCCTGGCCGGGACCCCACTCCCTGGTGAGTAGCTGGCCACACCTCTCCTAGGACTTTGATTCAAGCCTCCCGGCGTGACCAGGGTCTCCCTTCCCGTCTTGGCCGTCGCTGCCAGCGATGGTCCGCTGGGTTCCACTCTCCCTCTCCTAGAGCCTACCTTCCGCAAACAGGGCTGCTCAGTTTTTTCCAGCTGGGTCCTGAAGGATCCCCCTTCCCGATCCTTGTGCTGGACCCCCAGGAACACGTCCCCCCATCCACTCCCCAGCCTCTAGAGAGCAAGCGGGAACCAAAACACATCCCACTCTTCACTCTCCACGCCTGGGTCCCTTTGCTCAGGGGGAGGTGGGAGCTGTGAGCACCTCTTTTTAATTCTTAGCAAGGCACTTTATTAGTGGAGGTCCAGAACCACCCCGCCACTCCTCTCTGCCTGCCCAGAATTCCACCCAGGCGACAAGATCCAATATCTAATTATTTGTTTATTGCGTTTTTATTATCGGACCGCCTCCCCTTGGGAGAAGCAGCTCCATAACCCACAGGGCTTATGCTTCAAGTAGCTGGCTGGCCTTCTCCCCAAGGAAGGAGGGGCTGGGGTTGTAAAACCAGGGTTGGCAGCCTTAACCATAAGGAGGGCGAGATCAGAAAGGACCCTTTTGGGGGTTCTCTGAGATCAGAGGGAGGGGAGGGGCAGCAACCGTGAGTCCAAATGCCAGCTGGGCTTCTGGCCTTGACCTTCTCCAGAAGGGCCTGGACAAAGTACAGCCCAGTACACAGGGTATCCAGGAAATACAGCAGAACACTGAGGACCTACTAAGCCTCCTGTTTGGGCAGGGGCTACCTCCCTGATCCTGCTGCTCCCTCATTCTGCTTCTCCCCAATTTCCTTCCGCATCTGCCCATCCCATCCAGGGCGTGACAGAGTCAGGCTGTCCCAGTTCACATCCTGACTACACCTCACTTAACAGCTGTGTGACCTTGGGCAAGTCACTGAACCTCTCCGGGCCTCAATTGCTTTTGTTATAAATGGGATGATCATAATTAATCATTCACCTGAGTTAATCTCAAACAGTTGTTGTGAGGATAAAATGAGATATACGTGGGAGATATTCAGCAAATGAGCATTAAAAAAATTCTATAGGGATTAACGCCTCTTGGGTTTGTCTCTGTTGGCTCTGCCGCCTGTAAACTGTGCATAAATGCCTGGGTCCTTCTTACCTCCTGTTTCTAACTTTTTCCTCTTTAAATTTTGGTTTTGCCCTTCTGATCCCTTTTTAGTCCATGGGATACATACACATCTACATGGAACACACAGAGAATTTCTAAACCATAATTCATAACATACCCCATGAACTCAGACATTCTGAGCACTCTGTCTTGCGGGTCTCTCTGGCCTCCTCCATGTCCCGCTGGCCTCCCACCACCCCACACCCCAACCACTGTCCCAAGTTAAATCCTTGTCAGCCACTTGTGTTTTTTTTAAAGACAGTTTGATCACATATGCCTGTAACAATACATTGCTTATGTTTTCTTTGTGGGGGTGGAGGTGAGGGTTAAAAGAATCAGGCTGCAGAGGGCGTCCTGGGAATCGCTTCTTGCCCTTGACATTGAGTCACTCATTCACTTCCATCAGCTGGTGTCCATTGTCTCCTCTCCTGCCTGTCCTCCACTCCCGACTCACCCTGCAAGCACCAACTCAAAGCCTGCCTAATCTCCCCTCCATTCATTCCTTGACATCATCCTCAGAGACTTTGCAGGGCCCCCAGCCTGTCTCGGTCTGTGAATGGGTCAGCCTTTTGGTGCCATGGTACGGGCTTGAAGCTAGAAGTGTGATCTGGGACCTACCTGTGGTGGCCAAGAGTCTTAAGGAGGAGGAGTTTCCCTGATGAGAGAGAGGGAGGTCATCCCAGGCAAAGGAGACGTCAGGTGCAAAGGCCTGGAGGTGTGAGATCTGGACTGGAGGAGATGTGGAAGCAGCCAAGTGGGACCCAGGCAGTGAGGAAGGTGGGGATGGAGAGAGTTGTGCAGAGGCAGTCCCACAGAGGGAGTAGGGCCGGCAGCAGAACCCCAGCTCCACTCCCCCATTTAAAACCAGAGCAGTTCCGTTTTGATCTCTATTACATATTTCTGCTTGGATGTAAGATTTCTCTTGGACCAAGGAATCTGTCTTAAAAAGATTTTGGAAATTGTCACTGTGGATGCTGGGGAGCCATGGAAGGGACTTGAGCAGAATAAGCCCAGGGGGTGATTAGGAGATTAGAAAAGACTGCTCTGGGAATCCCAGCCGAGAAAACCTTATATGCAAAGTCACTGGGGCAGGGAACAGTGAGGCGTAGCCAGGGAATCTGAAGTAATGGGGCTGATGGAATGCAGGTGAGGGAGAAGACTGTACTGGAGAGGCTGGGGTGCCTGGACCTGGAGGGCCTCGGGACTGGGAGCAGGGGAGGGGCAGCTCTGGGAAGGACTGGAGGTGGGGAGGCCTGGGCGAGGACCTAGGGGTGAAGATGAGGCCTGAGCTGGGGCCATGGGAATGGAGAGAGTCAGGGGACAGGGGAGTGAGTTGGGGCGTGACAGGGTGTAGGAGGGAGAGGAATGAAGGGACAAGGACAATGTTGGGGGGAGGGGGCCTGACGTGGTGACTGGTGGGGCATCCCTGAGATGGCAGCGTGAGAGGAGGAGCAATTCTGTGGAAGCCAATTCTGCACAACCCTGGACATTGTGTCAGAGGGCCCTGGGGTTCAGTGCCCTCATGAGAGGCATTTTTCTGGATCCAGGGGATTCCAGAAGCTCACGGAAAAGGAGGTTTGAGGTCCTGAGGGCACCTCCCAGGGGGCTGCAGAATTCAGGTCCAGAAGTATCTTATAGGTGAGGGTTATTTACCCCATTTCTCAGATAAGGAAACTGAGGCTGGGAGAGAACAAATGACTGGATCAAGGTCACGCACTGAGGCCAACTGGCTGTGTGAGGGCAGAGAAGAGAGAGGCTCCCAGGGCCTGGTGGGAGGTGAAGTCTTCCTAGAGACAGGCACCCAGGAGGGAAACCAGCTTATCTCAGGAGGGAGAAATTGCAGCACCCAGAGGATGCAGAGAAAATAATGCCGAGGAGAGAATGCTGGGAACTTTCTCAAGCAGAGCTGGGACCAGCCTGGTGGCCACTCTCACCCTGAGAGGCACAGAGATACCATCAGGCTTGTCTATGTCACACAGCAATGAGAATTCAACTGCTCTGATCTCTGGAGTCTGGGGCACGAGGATGAGGGAGGGGAGGGGAGAGTCTGAAACAGTACAGCCAGGAGTGGCTGGAGGGGCCCAGGAGGCCAGGAGAGACTCGCCTGACAGTGAAAGATATCAGGGGTTGGACATCATCGAAACAGCTCGCTGTGTGATCTTAGGCAGGCTGCCTGCCCTCTCTGAGCCTCTGCTTCTCCTCTGAGAAAAGGAGCCATGGGGAGTGGGGTATCCCTGAGGCTGCTGAGGAAAGGAGAAACCACAGACTTGGGAGTTAGATAGATGGAGTTCAGATTTGCTTCCAAGCAGCATCATGATGGCCCTATCACTCTCCTGCTGAGCCTCCGTTTCCCCATCTGAAAAGTGGGTGCTATAAAAATCTGTGACTCATCCCTAGGAACAAAGGAGCCACACTTCAGAGGTGAGAAGTGATCTGTCCTCACCACTCCTACAAGGACTGAGGAGTCTCAGGTCCCTCCTCTGGGCCCCCAAGTCCCCCCGGGGGGCATGGCTGTGGCTCTGGGGCTCTGCTCCCTCCAGAACGCCGCCCATCTCTGCTGTTCCATCCTCCCGCAAACAAAGTGGCACACTCAGAGCCCCCAGGAGGGAAAGCACCCCAACTTGCGGGATTTGGGGGGTGTCTGGGGAGGAAAGGGGGTGCAACAGGCGCCCTTGTTTCTGCAGCTAACACACATCCAGTGCCCTGCTCTCATCCAGTCTGATATCAGAGAGACTGAATGGTTTCTGGGCCCCTTGGACAGACAGAGAAACTGAGGCTCTCAGAGGGACAGGGACACCGCAGGCATCCCACTGGTGACTCAGCCCAGCCTAGGTCACTGACTCCCTTCTCAGGAGGGACCTGCCACCCCGGGGTGGACGAGCCCACCCAGCCCAGCCAGGTCTGAGGCTCCGGGAGGCTGGGGGCCACCTTGGCAGAGGCCCCTGGCTCTTGCTCCAGGCCACCTCCTCCAGGGGAGCTGTCATCGCACACCCAGGTCTGGACCTCACCTGATTTCCGAGATGTTTTTCTCATAGGGTTCCCACGCGGCCTGGTTCCCGGGCTCGGCAGGCCCGTCCATGGCAGGAGGGCGAGGGTGGGGAGAGGAGGACGTGCTGGGAGCAGGCGGCACAGGGACCGGGTATGTGCAGCCCTGGCGTCTGCCACCGGGGGAGCCCGCCCGGTGTCTACCTCCACGCCCAAGGGGAGGGGCGGCACCCAGCCGGTTCTCCCGGCTGCTACCCACGCCTCCAAACGGGGAGAGGCCAGGAGAGAGCCACCCTTCTGCGAGGGTGGGGAGGACGGGTGACAGGCACCTCCTGGGCATCTTGCCCCTGGCTGGTGGCTCTGGGCAGGTCTGTGCCCACCAGGAGCCTCAGTTTGCTCGTCTGACCACAGAGCTAACCCCATCCCAGAGTTCATTCATTCACCCATTCATTCATGCCTTTATTCATTCAAAAAATATTTATTGAGCGCCTCCTGTGTGTCAGGTGCTGTTTTAAGGGTTAGGACACCACGGGGAACCAGATGGACAGAAACTGCCCTGGAGGGCTGACACCGTAAGGGGCACACTGAGAAAGAGATCGAGAGACCAAGAGAGATGCAGCTAGGATTACAGGGGCACAGGCGGGAGAGGGACACTGAGGGACTGGCAGAGGGTCAGGGACAGCAAGAGACACCAAGAGACCAAGGGAGAGACAGAGACACACAGAGAGACAGAGATGGTGAGAGAGCAAGGGGAAAAGAGAAACACGGAGGGTCAGAGATAGTGAGAGACACAGAGACGCAGAGATGCAACAGCCAGACCTGGCTGGGTATGGGAGTCTGAAGCTCACAGCGCCTGGTCTGAATCCCACCTCCAGCACCTCCAGCTGTGCAGCCTGCAACCAGTCCCGTCAGCCCCCGTGCCTCGGTTTCCCCACCGGTAAATGGTACCCATGTCATCAGGCTGTTGTGAGGACCAGATGGGACGTTTATCAGGCGCTCGGCAGAGTCTCTAACACACAGTAGGCTCCGCAAAGCCCGCATCTCCTTCTGCTCTGTCCCTCCAAACCCAGCTCCTCCCTATCCCCTGGTCTCCTGACCCCTCAGAGACTTAGTGTCTGACCACCAGAATCTCCTCGCCAGAAATGACTTATTTTCATAGAACAAAAAATGTGTGTACTTTGTTTAAAAAAAAAAAAACACAAACTGAGCCGAGAAGTCTAGAAAGAACATAAGAATCCTTGTGACCTTCCTTCTACTCACGGAGCTAAATACCATTAACATTTTGGTGGTGTCTTTCTAGAAACTTTTCCTCATTGTTCTAGTATGTGCCAGAGAAATTTCAGTTGGATGAATAAATACACAAATATCACCACTTACAAACCTAGTTACTGACCAGTACAGTTTGCCATGTGTTGTTGTGTAGGGGAGGGGGAGGGGGCACGTCAGAGTCATGTAATAGATGCAGGAGAGGGCTCAGAGAGGGGGAGTGACTTGCCCAAGGTCACACAGCATTGTCCACCCTCACTCTGAGGACAGGCAGAAGACAAGCATCCTGGGGTGTCATGCCCCCCGTCAGTTTATCTGCCTGAAGACCTATCTCTAGGAGGCTATGGTGTGGAGAGCCTCCCCCTACCTCACACCACCACACCTGAGTTAGAATCCTGCCTCTGCTACTTTCAGTATGAGCCTTGATGTTCTCATCTGGGAAAAGGGCTCCTTCACAGGGAGGAGGAAAGTCAAGAGAGCCAGCTCTCCCTGTCTGGGGCTGAGTGCACGTCCCATGTTGGGGCGGGGGGGGGGGCTGAGCGAGACATGCCGCCTGGCCTTCGGGTCTGGACTGCCTGGCTTTTGTTCTGCCTTCAATGACCCTTTGTTCCTAGCCCTGAGGAGGTGACAACCTTGCTCTGTCCCTCCCATGGGAACCTCTCTTGAACCCCGTCCCCAGGGCCCCCACAACGCTGCCAGAACCAGAGGGGAGGAGCACCTAATACAGCTGGGAGCCTCGAGTTTCCAAGGAGAGGGAGAGTCTAGGGGGAACGGAATGCCCAGATCCTTGAGGGAGACTGGGAGGGAAACTTGTGGGGGACAGCCCTGGGGACAAAAAAGAGCCAAGAAGACCCAGTGAGACTTTCAAGGAAGATGTTTAAAGGAGAAGGCAGGTCTGGAGGCTGTGCCTAGTGAGCAAGGAACCAGCCAAACAAGGAGACACAGAGAATGCTCCCACCTCAGGGCCTTTGCACCTGCTGTTCTGCTGTCTGACATGCTTTTCCCCAGACACCTGGGAGTTTCACTGCCTCCCTTTGTCCAAGTCTGCTCTGTCTCACCTCCTCTGAGCTTGCCCATTAACGTCTCCCTCCCCCTTTCCTGTTCTGCTTTTTCCCGTAGTGCTCATCACCATCTGATATCCTAAATGTTTTACTCCTTGGTCTTGCTGCCTGTCTCATCAGTTAACCCCATTGAGATGAGACTTGTTATCTGTCTCCTGTTGTATCCTAAGGGAAGTGCCTGTAAGAGCTCCTGGAATTAATCAGTGCTGCTGATGGAATGAATGCATTGTCACAGGGTGATGGGGAATGAGGGATAGGTCACAGTGGTGCATGGAGGAGGTGGTTGAATCCCCTCAGAACATGGGGATGAGGATGGGGAGATGCAAAGCCTGATTGTAGAGGGCGAGAGGCCCAGACTCCTAAGGAGGTGGCACGAGGACCCAGAAGACACGAGTAGCATCTTATCCAATGACAAGCGGAAGGGACAGTAATGGGGACCACTGACCCCACAGAAATGGATCTGGTGGGCCTAGGCATCTGGGGATAAGGAAGAGACTTGGAAACAGGTAGGAAGGAGAAGGTGGGAAACCCAGTGCCAGCTGTTGGGGTGGGAAGCACTGAGAGGAAAAGAGATCGTATAACCATCCATCCTTCTGTCCACCTATCCATCCATCCATCCATCCACCCATCCCTCCCTCCATTCCTCATCACCCATCCAGCCATCCAACCCTCTGACTAACATCAGGACCTGGCATTGTGTCCACAAACAAGATAGATAAATAGACACAGCTTAGGGCTATGATGTCCAGCACAGGAGCTGCCGGCCACATGTGGCTGTTAAGCACTAGAAATGTGAAATTTAAATTCAAAAACAGAAACAGAAACTTTAAAAACAGAAACAGCGTAATTCGTCTTAAATGCAGCATTAAGGCTTTGGGAAGACTACACTTTGCTCACCCTTGGAAACTGAGCACTGGAATTGAGATAAAGCATGTAAAATATCTCGTGGGTAATTTTTTATATTGATGACAGATTGAAGGATGATATTTTGGCTTTATGGGATGAAATGAAATATGTTCCTAAAATTAATCTCACGTTTTTTTCTCTCTCTTTTTTAAAAAATGTGGTTACTGAAAAGTTTAGAATGACACACGTGGCTAGCATACTAGTGGAATTGACTCTGCTGGCCTGGAATAACCTTCAGTCCGCTTGGCATCCTGCCTGTAGATACGGGCCTCTTGGGAAGGTCAGGGATGGCTTCCCAGGGGCAAGGATGCCCCAGTGGGGGAAATTCACCAGGTGAGTGGCCTGAATGGAGAGAGCATCCACACGGAGGGTCTGGTGGCAGCAAAGGTCTAGAGGCTGGAGAGACAGTTGGGAGATATTTCCACCAGTCCAAAGAGGGGGCACCTGGGGATAGGGGGCATCCAGGGTCTTCGGGTGGGAGCTCACACTCATCCCCGGAGGCTCCAGGTAAGGATGGGTTGGGCCGGTTGAGACATGCCCTCTGCCCCTGTAAGTGGGCCCTCCCTGGGCCCCCCATGTCAATTCCCTGCCCCCATCTTCAGATTCCCACCTGGGTCCCAGGAAGCCCCACGAGGTGCCATTTTGGTCTTGGAGCTCAGACATGGGCAAAGGGAGGTCACTGGGTCACGAGGTCACACTTCCACAGAATCAGGGCCATTGTCACCTCCAGAGTCAGACCTTTCCAATAAAAGCTAGTAATTGCTGGGAATTCTGGGAGAGCTGAGGACAGGCCAGCTCTGTCTGCTTCTAGGCTGGGTTCCCCAGAGGGCAGAGGCTGGAGGTAGTGCTCCCAAATCCTGGGATCGGGGTCGGGGGGGGAGTACAGCAGCTGGAGGCCCTGACTCCTGGGTCCTGGAGGAGGAAGGGAGGGGGGCTGAGACTCCTGTGACTCAGACAGAGAGGAAACTGGGCTGCTTAGACACCTGGACCCGGGGAACGGGTAGGTCATGGGTGGTGGGGATGCCTATTTCCCCAAGGCTATCCAGGGCCCCTAGGGAAAGGGAAGAAAGATGTCATGCTGGGTGAGGTGGGAGGAGGGCAGCTGACACCTCAGAGTGGGCACAGCTCCCTCCCCTCAGCCCTCCCTCTAATCAGTGGGTTCATCTCGGGGTGTGCAGCGTTGCAGAAACCTCTGGCTCTGCTCCCCACCCCAATTACTCCATCTGGTTGGAGGAGCCTGCCCCAGGGCCGATACTGCAGGCCCAGCACCGCCCCAGACACACACAGGGGCACCGCCCCCGGCTCCTGCAGGGGTGGGGGCGGAGCCACATCTGGCCTCTTCTGGGGCAGTGGGTGCCTGGGGATCCTGGCTCTGGGGTCCTGGAGGGGGACAGAGACCGGGGAGGTGGAAGGAGGCCTGAGAACTTCCGTGCTTACTAGCTGTGTGCTCACAAAAGGAGGAGAGGGATAAGCCGGGGGCGTAGGTGCATAGAGAGCAGGACTCCAAAGAGATCAAGCCTGGTGGTGACAACGTGTGAGGGCTTGGGAGGCTCGGGAGCCCGGACTCCTGGGTCTGAGGGAGGAGGGCCGGGGGGTCTAGACTCCTGGGTCTGAGGGAAGAGGAGGTTGGAGATGGGGAGGTTAGGCTCCTGGTCCTTGGGACTGGGACAGACAGCATCAAATGAACTTCCTGGGGTGGGGGTGTTGGGTATGGGAGTCTGAGGTCCACAGGAGTGGACCCAAGAAGAAAGGGGCTGCCTCCCTCCAGACCTCGGCTCCTGGTCGGTGCTCCCAGTGATATCCTCACCTGTCCCCAGGGCTCTCCTCTACCAAGATGTCAGGACCAGCCAAACCAGCTGTGCCAGTTGAGCATCCCCTTGACCCCCTCTCCCTACTCCCTCCCTTCCCCACAGCGGCTCCAAGGAGGTCTGGGCCCAGCCCCAGGGCGTGGGCGGGCAGATTAGGTGAGTG